AGGAGACCTGATGGAGATTGATTGGACGTGACGTCTCTATCCTTATCTCTCTCGCCCTGCTCAGCTGTCAGACGTCGAGGCTAGTCAAATTCTCTCGACCTTGACAAACTTGAGCCTTGTGAGCGCGTGAACAAGATGCTGTCATTGACATCAGAAGGGTCAACAAGCTCCTGCCCTCCTCCGCGCTCCTCTCCTCCCTCTCCTCGGTCTCCGTCCCACATACGCCTTCGCTCCACTCCCTCTTTTCTGCCTCCGGCTGCTCTCTCCCTCCCTCCCTCCCTCCCTCCCTCCCTACTCCTCCCCGTAGCCGCCACCGCCTCCCTCCTACTTGTGAGTGCATCGGCTCGGTCCGGTCAGCAATGGCGATCCCCAGATTCCTTAGCAGCTTCTGCGGACCAAGATCAACTCACTAGATCGTCGCGCCACGATCGCTGACCCTGAGAGACTTAAGGTAGTAGGGCGGAACGGATCGCACGTAAGCCTCCAACTCCTGAGAGAGGGTTCAGCAGGAGGTGAGGTAGGAGGAAACTTGGAGGGAGGGCACGACTGTGAGAGACACGAGAGAAAAGGCGGAGAGGATGGGGAAGGGAGAGGGGGGAAGATGGAGGAAGGGAAGGGAGAGGAAGAGGAGGCAGAGGCAGAGACAGAGAGAGATGTAAGCAGCTAGGGGTGAGGGGGTGAGGGTTGAAGGAAACTGGAGCAGAACGGGAAAGCAAGGAAGGACCTGTCGTGTTTGTGTCGATTTGTTTGCGATCCCCCCGGCATTCTGCAAAGGCCATCAGCAACCTCTCAGCTCTTGAGCCCTCCCTTGTCAGAGAAAAAAAGTCAAACTGACAGGTTTTCTCAGCTCCTCCACGATCTCATAGAGCTGCCACAACCAGTTCAGCACGAGCCCAGCTGGACAAGACAAGTTGACAACCTTGGGGTAATTATACGGCAGGAGAGCAAGCTCCACCCCCTGCTCAACCTCGTCAGACAGGAAAGTCCAGCAGCAGTCCAGCTCTTGCCGAGCTGCTCGAAGGACGGATCCTCCCCATCCCGTCTTGTGGTATCAGCCTGTTCCCCGTCACATCTAGAAGGCGGCGCATGCTCAGCTCACCGGAGGAACCCGAAAGGCTCTCCAGCACATGGTGAAATGCTGAGCGGCATCTCGCCCGCAGCTGGGCAAGGCGTCGAGGAGCCTTTCACGTACAGTTGAAGGATCGCCTGGGAGCAGAATCAGCCAACAATGCCAACATTACCACAAACCTCCTTCTCCTCCTCCTCCCTCTCTTCCTGCTCCTCCCTCTCTTCCTGCTCCTTCTTCCACTTATCTATCACACCCCCTTCTCCTTTGTCTCTCCCCCAGCTCCTCCTCTTACACGCGGGTTCTTCAGAGCATTGCAGCGTTCGCGCAGGTAGTCGGTGACAGCACAGGGCTGAAGAGAGGGTCAGGCGTGTCGGGGCGGAAGGAAGGAGCCGGCTACCTCGACCTCGTAGAACTCTGGGAAAAGGATCGTGTGGTCGTGCGCAGGATCTTTCTGACCTTCTCCTCCTTGACCATCGCCGGTTCCTGCAGCTGACAGTGAGCAAGTGGAGGGAGGAGGCGGGTCTACTGACCGCAGACAAGTTTGTAGGAGAGGACTGGGAGTGCGGCGCGGGGGACTACAAGTGAGTCAGGGCAAGCTATTCCTCCAGGTGACCTGAGTGGTTACCGATGCTCGTTGCGCTCTCAGTGAGCAGCGTGCTGTCAGGAATCTGCCCTGGCGCTCAGGCGCAACTCCGAGATCCAAGGGGAACTTACCGGCCAGAACTGAGGAGCCTTTGAGGCTACGACGAGGATGGTATTGGCCTGCTGCCGTGTCAACGGTCATGTCAAGTGCAGCCCTCCTATCACCTGAGGAGGAGCCTTGATCCTGGTTGCATCCTTGAACCCGTTCTCCTCATCGTCCTGACCGTCCACATCATGAACTACCTCTGCCCAACATCTGCTGCTGCTCTACCTCGAGAGGGACGATCTTGACCCCGACACTCGCGGCGATCAGCCGGCTTGACAGGCTCTCCACAGCCTGCAAGCCGTCAGGTCCTTGACTGAAGGAAGTTACTCCTCGGCGGCTGAATCCAACCCACCTTCATCAACTCTCGCATGTTCTGCACCACCTGCAAAGATTCTCATTCCCCCTACCCCCGATCGGTCGCTATGAAAGTCTCACTTGCGCCCTTCCTGCTGTCATGTCTGCTATAGAGCCGGCGGGTCCAGGATTATTTGCCAGCTCCTGAAAAGGAGAGGTTATAAAAAGCAAAGGTTAGCGGAAGCATACCTGAGGTAGACTGCCGCATCCCGGACAACGCAAGATGGTCATCCAAACTCGCTGGTCCCACCGGAAAGGCTCCTTGTGTGCAGTCAAGTCAGAGGTAGGAGTCGGACAGAGGTGAGTGGAACCAGGAAGAGCTCAGCAGAAGTCGGAGCCTCTGAGCGGGGCAGATTGAAAGATGAAAGAATGCCTGCAACAGAACAAGTTGTGAGTGCAATCAATGTCATGTTCGATGAATCTTCGTCATCGCCATGAACATCTCAGATTGCACATATGCAATGCCCGATATATAACCAAATCAGACTCAGACTCAGACTCAGACTCAGACTCAAACGCCTTCCTCAATTTTGACCACAGCCACTATTATCATCATAAACACCATCCAACAAACCATCATCGTCACCGTCACCGGCACCGTCACCGTCACCATCACCATCACCATCACCATCACCATTACCATCACCATCACCATCACCATCACCATCAAAGAGAACAACCTGTATCATTGGAGATGTCGCATCCATCGCTCAGAATCCACACAGACGCCGCTTCCATGGTCATCCATGGCCATCGACCCTGTACCCAGCACTGGTCACCATGAAGGCAAGAAACCTCCTCCTCACCTGTCCGTAGTTGTCGATGTCATACGTCGATCGTCCCTGGGACTGGAGTCAGAGGTACACCCAAGGAGGAGGAGGAGAAGCAACGACTTTCTCCAGCAGGTCGAAACAGCAGCGGACTGCCGACGGAAGATCCGAGAGGTCTCTTGCCACAGCGTTCTTGACCTGGTCAGTGTTAAGCAATGGAAGAACGAAAACCTCTTCGCTCTTGACCTTCTGCAGGAACACATGCTGGCTGTCTCCCCATCCAGCTTCGACTGTTCCTCCTGCCATGACCGATCTCGTCAGGACAGTACGAGTTCATAGAGTAGGGGACCGTATCGAGTTGTGACCAAGAGGAACCTGTGCTGCCGCTCGTTGGGAAACCTTCGCACCTACGAGCAACGAGGTCATGGCGAGAACCAACATCGTGGGAATGGAAAATTTCTACCATCTGCTCAATGGCGGCTTTCGCCATGTCGAGTAGAGAGATATTGGATGACGTCCTCTGATTCATGGACGCTGAAGTGTCGAGCAGAATGCAGGTGCAGGGAACCTGCCCTTTCACATTCGCCGCCATTGTTTCGCTAGGAGCCTGCCATGTCAACAAATCAGCCACTGAGCATCGGATTTCAAGGTGATCTTCCCAATCCTTGACCACGCTGACAGTCCCATTCTCCCTTCCTCTTTGATAGGATCTGACAGAACCCCGCACTTGTCGCAGTCAAGATTCAAGGATCAGCAGCTCTGACATGACCATCTCTCCTCCGCCTCTATGCCTGTCTAGCCAACCCTTCCTCTCCTCTGCCGTCTCCCTCCTTCGCTGCAACTACCACCCCCGCCATGCCCTGCCGCTCTGAGCTGCATTGCCACATGGAAACTTGTGCAAGACATCATCAAATTTTATTAGAGCTCCAATTAGAAAAGTGAAGACCTTGAGGGTACTAGCATCTAGCTCAAATTGCAATGGCCCGCCGGCTCAGTCGGACGTCATGTGGGCTGATCGGAGTCACCCGGCGTGCGGAAGCCGCCCGGCTCCGAGTCGGCCGGCCGAGAGCGCGACAGTTTTTGCTCAAGACCGACTCCGGCGAGTTTAATGCACACAAAAACGGATGATATTGAGGAGCACATGAGAGATAGACTGTATGCTAAGATGTGAAATCCAAGCATCCAGACATGAGGGGACCTTAGCAAGACCGGGCTAGGAAGGCCTCCTCTTCGTCTCTCAGTGAACTAAATTGCCGCCTTGAAAACACGTAAGAGTTGTTTTGGTTTACGGGAGAGTTTTTGTTAACTCGGCGCTATCTGACTGGCACGGCTGGCATACGATCCATCAGAGTGCTAAAGTCTTGTTCGGGAATCGGAAGACTCTGATGATTCGCTGGGTACTGAACTTGCCAAGTTGAACGGAAGTTGCAGCGGCCTAGCTGAGCACTGCCGTTCTGCAGCGGAAATCCTGGCAATGCAGCGCTGTGATAAGCCACTCCGGGATATCCGATGATGATCACTTTAGGGTCTAACAGAGGTCCCTAATGCATTGAGAGTGGAGCATGTTGAAGTACGGTATTCACACGGCGGGGAAGCCCCAGGAGAGCTCGGATCACTTTTCTGCCACTCTCTCTCTTAGGTAAGCCGGGCTAACCCCGCAAGCAAGCGCCACTTTTGCGATATCCGCAGCGCCAGGAGCTTTTGCTGCCCACACCTTGTAGATGACGATGGCAGCAACTGTGGCTGGAGCTCCTTGAAGTTGCTTGTCAGACTGCAGCTTCAATGCTTCCTCTGCGTAGCTGAAGGGGAGCTGGAGGCTTCCCAAGAAACGATCAAGATGATGCTTGAACGACTGGGGCTTGGTGCCCTGCCCATGCTTTAGGACTAACTTGCTGACCTTAGAGTACACTGCTCCCGTTGCTGCACATATCTCACGAAGCGTCCTGCTCTGTGCGAGCTCTTTGCAAGCCAGATACAGGCAGGCTGATGCAACCGACTCTTGTTCGCGCTTGTTGCGAGGTATGGATGCGGCGAAGACAAGAGCCTGCTGCAGTACTTGCTCAGAGACCTCAAGTTTGTGACCGAGGTCTTGGATCAACTCTTTCAGCTTCACTTCATATGGGTCAGACTCCTTGCAAATCTTTTGGTTCGCTCGCTGGATGTCGCGTGCAGCCTCGGGTTCGATCTTCCTCTTTTTCGTACCTCCTTCTCCACTGACGATGCCCATATCAGCAAAAGAATGCTCGCGGATAGAGGTTCTATGCATTACACCGCAGTTGGTGCATACAATACATCCTTCCTGCTCTATCACTTGCATGCCGGTTGCCCCGCAGGAAGCACAGATGTCTCGAAGGATGCGGACGAGGGTCACCCTACACGCCCCTCCGGCAAGCAGCTTGGGGTGTCTGCCATCCTGTCGGATGTACTCAATAGTATCGTCATACTCGAGCTTGACGATCCGATCGCCCTCCTTCACACCCTTGGCGCTGGCTTCAGAGTCTGGATGGACTCGATTGACAACGATTGGGAAAGCAAAACAGCCTTCATCCCTCAGACGAGCAGATATGCCCCAGTGAAGTGACTCGAAGTCAACTACAAGCTCTGCGCTTCTGTCCATTTTCGCCATGCTGGGATGCAGCTGTCGAGTACCCTACCCCTATTCGTCGTAGCCATTTACTATGAGAGTACCCCCCGTTCTCCGAGCAACCAAATGACCAGGCAGGTCTTTGGCCATGTCATGCCGCGATGCTGGGAGTCCGGGGCCAGGACAATATTAATCAGTTAAGTTTGGGGGACAGCAGTCGGCAGGATTAGGTTTGGTTCTCGCTGTCTTTTCTCTTCTCGCCGTTTGGCCTGTGCGACAGTGTCAGGGTCAAGCCTCCTCGACTCTCCTGATTGTCCTCGTACTGATTTTTAACTTAACTTTGAGTAAAGATTAATCTTTCGTCAGCCCACTCTCGACGTCGTTGGAATGATGATGGGCCAGGGCGGGGTCCGTCGGGCCGGGCCCGGGCGCCGCCCGGCCGGTCGGGCCGCGCGCCGAAAATTCAGAACTTCTTGATGCGACATTGGCCTGAGCGGCGCTCCATTTACTCGAAGTTAAGTTAAAATCAGTACGAGCTCGAATCTAGTAATGAGTTGACTAAAATAATTCCTTTATGTGGTGTCGGGTAGGGTAGCCGCACCCAAGCATTGGACTACAAGGGTGGGTCCCCCCTGTCAAGTATGGTAGGATTTTAGGATTCCAAGGGGGGTAGGTGGTTTTGCATGAGGTAGGGGTACTTATTACCCCATGGTTCCACCGGCAGGAGCAAGTTGGGGTCAACCGGCAGGGAAAGGAGGGATTTCAGAGTTGGCGTGTTTTTTAGTATTAGATATTATAAAATAAAAGCCAGATTGTACTGGAATAATTCTAGGTGGGGGTGAAGCACGGCAAGGAAGGGGGTACTAGACGTTTGGTGTGATAATCAAGGGGGTGGGAGCAAGTTGGAGTGGGTAGGGGTACAAAATAACAAAACATTATAGGGTACTATAGCCAAAAAATAAGGGATAAAATGGGGTATACCTGATGTTGGTGTGGGTCATTACTCAACTAGGTGGGTAGTCCTGGGACCGGTGGTGTCACGAGAATGGCGGCGGCGGCATGTAAGGGGGGAGGCGAGGAGTGAGGATTGGCAGCAGGAGGGAGGAGGAAGTCAGACTGTCAGCGATGAGGACAAGAGAGGAATCGACCGCGATGGCGGAAACCATGCTTCTTGTGCCACCTGCGTAGGGTTGACGTACCTGACCAGTCCATTGAAGATCCCAGCAGGCGAGCCGAAGACGGTTATTTGAAAGCGGGAGAAACTGTGGGATGAACTCGCATCGGATTCTTTCTTGCACGACATAACGCATCCTCCCTGGTCTTGCAGCTCTCCCGTGCTGCTGGTCTGGATCTATCGCATTCCGTAGACCACAGCTACTCTTAGGCAGAGCGTAACGATGAATCTCGGACTGGGAACGCCTGTACGGCGGTATATGATCCTGATGCTCCTGACAATCGTCTTGGTTGGAGGGTTTGCAAGGTACCGAGAGCTCGCCTCCATCGACTCTGGCGGGATCCGAAGCGCGGTGGGCCGGTTCGACTTTCTCCAGTCGTTTGGTCAGTTCTCGCAGTCCAAGGAGGTGGTCCCTGCTGTCTTCGACTCGAGCAAGAATGCGCTGTCTCTGCATGTCTCTCCCATGGACGGATTCTCTTGGAGCGGCATCTCAGGGCTCATCGGCGGCGGCAACGCCACAATGCAGGAAAGCGCCAAGGTACATGGGCCGGTGAAACTGAGCATGGAGAAAGATAGGGCGGAGGGGATGCTGGAGTGCGACGTCGTTCTGAACCTCTTCACCACCTTTATCGACAACGGGGACAACCGCAAGATCGGAGCGCAGGAGAACGTCCTGAGGGCCTACCAGAGGCTGAGGAAGCATGGGGTAATGCCATGGCTCTTCACCACATCCGAGAAGTGGACCAAGAAAGCGATGGAGCACGATGTGATGGTGGTGTCGGACATCGCAACGAATCGTCATGGTACTCCTCTGCTCGGGCACATGTACGAGACTGTTCGCAACATAACTGAGAAGCACTGCACCCCGTACCCCCGCTACGTGTTCGACTCCTACACCAACGGCGACATCGTGTTCACCAAGGGGCTGGCGGACACGCTGTCGGAAGTGAGGAGGGTGTGGGGGCATGAGATCAGTCAGGGGAGGAGGAAGGGGGTGATGGTGATCGGGAAGAGAACCAACGTTGATTATTTTGACACACAACTCAAGTCCGACGCGGAAGTCGAGGAGTTTTCGAAGAAGGGACATCTGTTCCAGAACGATGCCATAGACTACTTCGCCTACCTGCGAGGGACTGTGGACTGGAATCGGATGCCCAAGTTTGCGGTCGGAAGAAGAGCATACGACAACTGGCTTGTGGACAACATGTTCCACAAGGATGAAGCTGACATGATCGACGCGACCCACACGGTCCTCGCCCTTCACCTCACAGCATCTGATGGCAACCTGGCTGGTCACAAGAAGGGAGTAGACAATGACTGGAACAAGCAGGTGATCAACCCTGTCACAAGGAAGCAAGTCGGAGGCCACGAGTGGGACCACGGGAGGACGGATCACGCACAGTTCTTCACGCGCTGGGACATCCATGATCGCGTTGCCTTCCACCTTCGAAGTGGGAGGAAGGAGGGGAGGAGCATGCCAGAGCTGGCAACAACGCTCACACCGGAGACCGTCAAGATGACTCCCTCCGTCATCCTCCCCACGGCGATCCGAGCGCCCGCTCCGAGCCCGGACGCTAGCAAGCCCAAGGACCCTGTTCCTCTCTCCCCCCGACCTGTGACGATCGAAGATATTCAGGCTCAGGACAACAAGGACAATGGGCCCCACTTCGAGCTCGAGCCCTGCAAGGTTGTCCTCAACCTCTTCACCACCTTCATCGAGAACTCGCACGACAACAGGAAGCAGACGGCGCAGGAGAACGTGCTGCGGTCGTACCAGAGGCTGCGGGAGTTCGGGATCCAGCCATGGCTCTTCTCGCGCTCGGAGGACTGGACGGTCAAGGCAATGCAGCACGACGTCAAGGTCGTGTCCCAGTTCGAGACGAACCCTGCGGGTACTCCCTACCTTGGTTCCATGTACCGCCACATCGCCAACATCACGACTGGCCGATGTGGGGACCCGGAGCCGTTCGTCTTCGACGCGTACGTGAACGGGGACATTGTCTTCACCAGGAGCCTTGCAGACACGCTGATCAAAGTAAGGAGCAAGTGGGAGATGGCGGTGCGGTCGGGGAGGAGGAAGGGGGTGATGATAGTGGGAAAGAGGACCAACGTCGAGTGCCCCAAAGGGCTGAAGCTGCACTCTGACAAGGCGGTGGAGAAGTTCTCACAGCTGGGGAGGGTGTTTCAGAACAATGCGCAGGACTTCTTCATCTACTCGAGGGGAGCTGTGAACTGGGATCAGATCCCCGCGTTCGTGGTGGGGAGGAGGGCCTACGACAACTGGCTGGTCCATAATGCGCACCATGACCCGCTCCTCGACCTCATCGACGCGTCTAACACGATCCTTGCTGTCCACCTAACAGGTGGGTGCCGGATGTTAGGGGAGAGGTGGAGGGGGGGGATGATAGGGGAGAGGTTGGGGGGGGAGGATGATAGGGGAGAGGTTGGGGGGGAGGATGATAGGGGAGAGGTGGGGGGAGGATGATGGATAGGGGGAGAGGTCAAGATCTGTCGCTACAGGCTTCCTGGCATACCCAGGATTGGGAAAAAGAAATCAGTTCACCTCCGCGAAAATGGGGAAAGGACGATAGAGTGTGATGACACTCATGTGACTCAGCAGGGTACTGAATACATAGAAGATGGGCGAGTCGCTCAAGAATATATCTATCTCTTCGTAGTGAAGCACGGTTTCATTGGATC